TTTGCGATCGCTAATGCGATCGCATTGCGATGTTTTAATAGGGAAAACATCACGTTGCGATGATCGGTAAGCATTTTGCTTACCGATCTTTGCACTGCGATGTTTTTTAAACAGCTGATCGGCGGTTCCAAAATGGCCACCGCATCCGCAAAATGGCCGCCCACAGTGTTTTTGCGCCCTGCCCTTGCTTACTGGGCAGCGAAAATGGCAGCCGGATCAAGGATTCCCCGCATAGCGGTGAGTTTTCGCCCCAATAGGAACACATTAAATCCGTTTTAATGCATTCCTATGGGGTTTTCCCCCCCGCATAGCGACGAATCCGGATAGCGACATTAATCCTGGAACAGATTAACGTCGCTATGCAGGGCACCACTGTATTTCCCATATTTTTGCTCTGTGGTCAGGCATTCAGTAGGGGTTTGAACTCATGATCTGGAATCCCAATTCAACAATCTAACAACTACACTATACTGCCTCTCTTGTGCTCCACCTCTTAGTTACAGCGGTCTCAAAGCAAATCCCTGGAAACAAAACAAAGCTATATCAGTATTTTTATAGGAAGCCAATATGCTGTCAAGGCCTTGATTAGGAACATCAGGGGTTTTTTTTGCCAGGATTTCACAGTTTTCTGCTCTAGGTCATGAAGTCAGAAGCCCTGTGGGGCCAAGGGCATAAATTCCATCCTCACTATTTCCCCACCCAGATGTACATCAGATCACTGGACAGTCAATGCAAAGTTCTGAAGAGGTGCATTCAGCTGCATATACTCACAGCATTTTCATAACCAGACGTGTTTTATCAGAGCTGCCTGTCTCAAAAGTGCTGGAACTCAGCTGAATGTGCTGACAAAGCACCTCTTTAGACCTGTTCATATTGAACTACAGCTCTATCTGCTTTCGGGTTACAATGTCTGAATACAGTACAGCTACATAGATACAGGCATCAGGTTTCTTTCAGCTGCATACGTACACAGTTGTTGAGGACAGCATGCCTTTTCTCAAACCAAACTTTCGCCTTCTGTGAAAGTCATGCTATCCTTGTCTTCTGCTAAAACTGATTTATAAAGCCATATTCCACAAAGAATTACTGTTTGCCATGTAATTTGAGGTGTTTCACTGACACGGTCATTAGAGGCTTAGAACATCTAGTAACAAAGTGTGGCACATAAAATTTTGGCTGTTACCAACATATTTACTATAATTGCCTAATAACTATCTAAGCCTGTAATCTGTGGAAATGTACATGCAGGCAGTATCAATTTATGGAATTTGCTGACAAGTAAATATACAGTATACACAAATGGGTTGCAAGACCAGTTAAACAGCATGACAGCATGCTATAATCCCAAAAAGCACTAGCCCCCCTCTGTTGGGCATTGGTGAGGCTTCATTTTGAGTACTGTGTCCAGTTTTGGACACCACACTTTAAGAAGGATGTCAAATTGAAACAAATTCAGAGGAGGGAAACAAGGATGATCAGGGGAAACCAAGTTTTGGTTGGCTTTGGGAAAAGACGATTGAGGGGAGATACAATAACACTCTGCAGATACTTGAAAGACTCTTATACGGAGGAGGAGCATGATCTATTCTCAGTCATCCCAGAGTGCAGGACATGTAACAATGAGCTCAAGTTACAGGAAGCCAGATTTTGGCTGAAGATCAGGAATAACCTCTTAGCTGTTAGAGCAGTACCACAATGGAACCAACTACCTTGAGAGATGGCGAGTGCTCCAAACCTAGAGGCATTTACAAGACAATTGTGCAGCCATCTGTCAGATTTACTTTGATTTGGATTCCTGCACTGAGCGGGGATTGGACTAAACGACATTAGAGACCCCTTCCAACTCAATTATTCTAAGTGTTGGCAATTTCAAGTATATCTTGTTTAAATTTTATATCATTTTCCAGAACTGGATTAAGCATCATGGATTTTCCACCATATATGGTGGTCTCAAATCCCCATTTGTCCAAGAAACTCTCTAGGTGACCTTTGTCCAGAAACACTATCAGATTGTTTGTTTGTTTATTCATTGCATTTATATGCAGTCTTTCTCCCAGTACAAGCACCCCATGCAGATTACATGTGGTTAAAAAATTGGTCCTGCAAAAACACAATGAATTATAATTATAATATTCAAACGTATTATCATATTAATGTAAAAAAGGAGATAGCTATGTGGGCAAAACATAAATTTGACACCCTTTACTAAGGAGACACCTATATAGCCCAAATAAAAATGTACAAAAAGTATACAGAGCACATAAAAATACCTTTGGAAACATTTTGCTTTGGCCAGGTGAGATGTTAAAAGCAAGCAGCAGAGAAGAGGGGGTGAGAAGTGGGCAGCAAACACTGAGCTTAAGTACTTCTCATCTGCCTGCTGCCCCAAGGTATGATGGAGGAATGAAGTAGCAAAGGATTCAGTCCTATCATGTGCTGTAGTATTGTTAGGCTTCATCCAGGGTAGCCCACAGACTTACTGAGGACTGGAAATCTTAAATAATATGTTTCCCACACCAAACTCAAAACTGCATTTCTCTGTTGTGAGCACACACACACACACCTTTGGTGGGTTACCAGGCAGGCTTCACGTTGCCCATAATAATA